GCAATCTAATGAGCACTAGTGCTTTAGTCATACAAGAGAATATAATGTTCAGAGATCTGTCATAAGTGTTCTGGATACGGGTAAGTTGGAAAAATGCAATGTTAGTTAAGCCATTAGGGATGTAGTCTCATGTACCGGCCTACTTTTTGAAGGTTATTTGAAATAACTTTTTTTGTAATAAAAAATAATGCGATCGTTTCAATTTTCACATATGTTTTTATAGGCATCATAAACTATTTGAAAATATTTTGTTTAATTTATTCTTGTGTAGTTTATTACACTTTATAGCATGCCAAAGTATGCATATAAAAAAAGTGGTAGGTGCCTGGCGCAGGTGATTTCGACTTCTAGAGTCATTCGAAACAACAAATTAGAATAAATTATTGTTTTGTAAACTTATGGCTCTGTCCCGTACTATAATGAAATATTTTCATCAACAAACAACAAAATGGCAAAATCACAAAAAAAAATTTTTTTTTAATTTAAAAAATTTATTTTTAATTAATGATAAATAAAAAACTAATCATTAAAAATAAATGATTCTAGTACGGGACAGAGGTGTTACTTTTTAGAACAACATATCCAAATTTCAACTAGATCGGTACCATAGAATTTTGTGAATCACCTGCGCCGCACACAAAAATGTCGTTCCGAGAAAAACGCGTTTAAAGTTTTGACGCTACCGAGAAACTCATACTTTTCGGTGTTGGCGCGCTCTCGATTATGGGCTGTATCTCTGTCATTATTTGATATTTTTATTTGAAACTTTAACAGTAAATTCTTAATAAACAATACTGTCGAAATATGTGAAAAAAAACGATTTTTTCAACCTCACATATGAGGTTTTCAACCTCACATAAAGCCAGCAGCCTCCACTGGATCATAAACTCACGATCGCCACTGTGCCTAGACTACAAGTTACTACTGTACAATTCAGTCCTAAAGCCAATCTGGACGTATGGCTCCCAGCTGTGGGGGAACGCGAGCAGCAGCAACATAGACATCATACAGCGCGCACAATCAAAAATCCTGAGAACTATCACAGGGGCACCTTGGTATGTTCGCAACGAAAACATCCACCGGGATCTGGGCATCCTCGCAGTGAAAGACGAAATCCAGAAGCAAAAAGAGTCATACAAAGAAAAACTGTCTTCGCACCCAAATTTTCTCGCTCGGGGATTGACTCGGGTTTCTAGCGTATCCCGCCTTAGACGCAACGACCTCCCAACCCAGCAATCGATTTTTAGGGCCGTCTAACTCCGTATCAGTCAATATGACTGTTAGTTAAGTTAAAAATATAAGATTTGATACACCTCTTGTTAGTCTCGCAAAGAGAAGATTCAAGAAATAAAAGCAACGTTAAAATAAAAAAAAAAAAAAAAACATGAGGTTAAAGCACAAAAAACGAAAATCTTAAACCTTAAAAAGGTAAATTTTTTGTTAAAAACTTCGCCATTTTTTTTTTAAATCAAAATTTTTAAAAATCCCTCGTTTACGGACTAGACAATACAATATACTAACTAAACTTTTTTGAATTTTGGATTTCGGATGAACTGTTTTCGAGAAATCATGTCCGCCGCAAGACACCATCGAAAAAAGGGAAAAAAGGACGATCCGGGAATTCGGCTATAACATTTTTGTTATATAATATTTTTTATGAAAAAATTTAATTAAGTACCCAGAAACATGTACAAAACAACGTCGGTAAAACATTTTTCATAAATAATTTCTATGGTGTCAAAAAAAAATCGATAAAAATCCATATTTTTGCGCGGTACAACTGTATATAACCCCTTAAATAAAAAGGATCAAAATTTTACTTAAGGGGGGACATCTGAGTAACAGGCGAAGAAAAAAGCGGATTTTCTAGAATTTTTTTTGGCCAAATGAAAAAGCCAATCGAAAATTTGTAAATGAGGTTTTATTATATTATATTTAAAGTACAAAATAAAATTTGTTTTTAATAAATCGAAAACAAAATGGCGGCTCTGCAGCTTTATGCCTTTATTCGTAGGCCCTATTTTTTTTTAAAGGGGGTCCATGGCCGAACACTTAACGTCCTTAATTTTTGATCTAGAACAAAAAATCAAGTTTGGTTAGTTTCTGTATATCAACGGCTATGGACACACGTAGGATTTTTTTGATATATTAATTTTTTCCAAAATGGTGAGTGATTGAAAAAAATTTTAAATTTTCACGAACAAAAAACCTCACAAAATTGTTGATAAAAAAAAAGTAAGCAATATAAAAAAAATCCTACGTGTGTCGATAGACATAAGTATTCTGAGTATACTTTTAGATTGATTATTATTAGAAAATTAGGGCAATATGATCAAAATCCAAATCCCAGCATTGGCTGATATTTTTTTGAGAATCCAGTAACCCATGGTATAATGCCAAATCAATGCAATTAGCTATGTAACTCGATAAATATGGGTATCTATTTGGTGAACCAGTGGCAAGAATTTAAGCCCCTCTAGCTGAAATAGTTTCTACTAGCTCAAGTCCTCTGGGTGAATTTTAAGTGTCCACCCACATCCTATGTCGAGCATTCCAGTCACTTCCAGTCAGTGACATTCCATATAAGTATCCTAAGATTGTTCATTGTGAAGCTTGTATTAACCCGGTGACCGTACCAATAATGGAAATTATTGTTAATTATGTTCATATATGTATGTATTTATGCGCGGTGCGGAAAACATCAGAAATCGCTCAATGCATACCAAGATGCCAAGAATATGGCCACACAGCTAAGTACTGTCGTCGATTTCCCTTTTATGCTCCATGTGACGAAGATCATCGTACAATGCAATGCGCACGGCCGCAAGATTAACCGCCTATCAGTATGCACTGTGGTGGGAATCATATGGCAAGCTACAAGGGTTGCCAGTGGTATCAAGATTTCCTTAGACGATCTATGGGTTCTCTGAAGAAGCATAGGTTGACGTGTTACCTTAAGAAAAACGTGAGCAACATCAGTCAACTCAACAGCAACTTAATAAGCAAATGCCTAACACTTTTGCAACCAATAGCGGAGGTTTATCTTGTCTTTTAGTCTTACTTATCAGATGTTCTTGGCATTGCATGAAAACATTATTATAACTCTGTGTTGAGCACGCACTGCGAATTGTGACAGTTGCCGTAGAATATTGTATTACTAGTAGTACTAGCGCAGTTGTTGTTGTACTGATGTTCCGATTTTCAGAGTAAAGTGTGCTCTGACCTGATCTCTGAAGGTGATTTTCCAGCTATTCGGTACATTTTTTCGTAATCAATATGCTTATTACTAAGCTGAGAGTTCCAAAAATTTCCATCCATATTTAATTCAAGTTTGGCATCAAACAACAAAAGTTACTTCTTAGTTGCTTGATGGTCAAACGAAGGTCAGATCACTTAACAGATAAGCACTGTCTTTCTTATCCCTCATGTGCGGAGGCTCTAGTTAAATCCCCGCTAGTTACGGCCATGGGTGCCGTAGAGATCGAGACTGAATTTATTTCTCTTCGACTCTCTTTAGCTGTTGCTGTGTTATCCGGAAAATTCGATCCTTCTGCTTTGCTAAGATTTCTATTCGCTGCTCCATCCCACGGCTGATGACTGTCATTCTACATCTTGTTGTTCCCCATGACTCCGTCACACCGCGTGTTATCTCGAATTTAAGGATCGACACGAGCCTTGTGTAAAGCTCACGTGAGGCCGCTCTGTTTACTCACTTGGCTCACGAGTCTCTTGATCCTTAGGGATAAAGTTTTTTCGAATATTTTCCCGTTTTGCCAATAGCTCCCCCAAAGTGGAAGTCTGTCCGAGATTCTCAGTTTTCAGTGTTCCTATTTCCTCACGTTTTGTCTTTAAAACAGTGGTCGCTACGGCCCTATCCCGTGGGTATAGGATATTTCTCTGCCCGAGCTCTACCACACACAAACAGTAAATTTGTGAAAAGTCATGCTCACAGCCTACTTTCTTCTATTCGTTACTAACACTAATGCGTTAAAATGTATTGTACACTAATGTATCAATGTATTGGGTGCCGACCACTGCTCAAAAATAAACTATAGCTATGTATGAAAATACTTGATAAATCTAGAATATATTTCCCCATTTTCAATGCTTTGAAGAAAATCAAAAGAACTAAAAACTTGTACGCATCTTAAAATTAACTTGCAACTTAACTCTCTTCTTCTTCCCCTTATTTACCCGGTGAAGCGTCGGTCACTCGTCGAATGAACGCTTTCGTGTTGCCTCGTGACACGACTTTTTAGACTACTTTAGTTTGTTTAAGAGTTGTTTGAGTTATGTGTTCGGCCAACTCAAAAAAAGCGGTTTCGAGAAAAACGCGTTTAAAGTTTTAAGTACTGTGGGATATACCTGTGAGGCATCGCCGCAGAATGGAAAATTTCGACACTTAGACACTTTTGCCGGACTCTATCTTTTGATATGTCATTTTTAAGACCCTAAAGAATTTTTTAAGCGAAAAAAAAATTTCAATTTTTTCAAAATTCTACTCAGATGTCCCCCCTTAAGTCAAAAGTCTGTCAGGGTGTGTATTGATGTAATTTTAGATGTTATTCTTTAATTTTCAAGAACTTTAAGTGGGCCGATTAGGATGAAAATTATTAAATATACCCCTTCCTCATAAAACAGTGTAAAACATCTGAAACTGAAATTTAATTTCTCTTTTTAAATCTTAAAAAAATCACGATTTGTTGAAAGCGCGATATAGATAAACTTAAATTCTTCATTAACAATCGGCATATAAGAACCGGAAAATTAAATATTATTAATACTTTTATTCATTAAAATGATTGTATAGCGTTTGATTCGTATAACGTTAAGTTGTTTGCGCTTCACCAATTCATGCTTTGAGGCTAAAATCATGACAACTTTTGTGTGTTGCCGAATTCACGAAATGGCGTTTATGCACACACGAATCGGCTGAAATCGTGAAATGAAAGCGTGAATTCGGTATCGCATAAACACAGTATTATTATAAGTTTATATTATTATTTTAGTAAAAAGTAACATTTATTAATGCTGATAAATATTCTTGATGTTAATAATTTTTTACAAATATGGATAACCCAAGTTTCGTCCAGTAACGCCTGCTGCTGATATTGGCGTAGCACCTGATGGATAGTTCTGAGGGTATTGCGATGATATACCAATGGCTGGACCTGCAGTAATCATAAGTTGTGGTTCCATTTGTATAATATTTTTTTGTTCCGTAGTATCATTATCCTTCTCTCGTTGTGCTTCGCATAGCTCCAATTTATCAACCTTTATGGTGTATTCTCGCAAAACCTTCAATTCATTAAAGAAATTTAAGAATGATTTGTGAATGAATAATTTTATTACCTGTATAAGATAGGGCATAGCAAAGTCTAATATTTTATGTTTCCAAGCCAACTCCAAAATGATATCAGGGCGTAGCAATTCGTAACACTAAAACAAATAAAACAGACAAAATATTGAATTATTTTTATTTTTTTGAGTGAAGTTTTAAAAGTTGTATGAATTTAAATTTTTAAAATAATTTCAAAACTTGTAGTTCACGTCATAGCCACATAGCATGTTAATTTATTGATTTTATATTACCCAGTTTGCCTGAATCGTAACTTCTTCTTCTTCCCTTAATCTTAACTTACACGAGTTCTTGAATATATGCTTAGTATGTGGTAAAAATTCAAAGATCTACACCCAGCGACAATAAAAAAAAGGCACTTTCGCCATTGTTATACTTTATTATACCGTTATACGTTATATACGTATGTATATACCTTATACGTTATATACGTATGTATATACCTTATACGTTATACCGGGATATTCTCTATTTTTATACCCGGTACTTGTTGAGTACCAATTAGTAGGTCGATCCTAAAAAAAATTTTTAGAGACGCTCAGTTAATGTAATTTAAAAAAAAAATTAAAAATGATTAAAAATGTAATATGTAGTAACTCCTAGCCTTCTATTTTGCAAAAGTATGCGAAACTTGAACAGCCGCGATCGGTTATAGCTTCTAAATAACTATTTGATAGAAAATGGTTGATTCAGAGGATATACTGACCTGATAAAGACAGGCTGCGAAACAATCATGGGCATCACGTTCCAAAAACCAGCCCAACAACTCTTCAGCTATTTCTTGTTTGCCAGACTCAGATGCGTACTCCATTGCGTCCTTGTAGAGTTTATCCTTTTTACAAAGTTCAACACTTTGTTTCCATCGGTTGTTTCCTGCAATTGAAAGAAATGTATATATAAGAACTTTGATGGTTTTAAGACAAATTTATTATTGTTTTGCATTTATGTATAAATATGAACCTTTTCTGTGGTCCCGAACGTATTTAATACAACAAAAGATATAACATGTAATTTTTCGAAAATGTTTGTTTTCATTATCTGATTTTTTTAGCTCTATACATAAGGAGGTCTTGCCTAGTTGGAGCCATTTTTTAGCTGATTTTTGGGAATTTGTTTCTTTGGCAATCAAAACTTTGCATTTTTATATACATAAATTGAGAAACACATATACATTTTTTGAACTGAAAAATAATTAAAAATTTTTATTGATATTGCCAGTTGAAGTAGGGTACAAAAAAATTTTACCCCATTGATATGATTTTAACGCATAAGTATTAGTAACGAATAGCAGAAAATAGGGTGTGAGCATTACGTTTCACACATTTATACTCTGTGTGTGAAAGAGCTCGGGCAGAGAAATTTCCTATGTCCTCGGGATAGGGCCGTGTTGACCACTGATGTAAATTTAAACAAGAAAGAAAAGCTATAGCAGATATACAGTCGGCGCCACAAAAAAAGCCGCACTTAAAAAAATTTTAAAATTGTGCAATCACTATGCTGGGGTTTCCCTAAATTGTATTATTTGGGCATTAATTTTTTAGGGGGGTTACCCTTGACTATTTTCGACATAATTTCGTCCTTTGAAGAGCGCTGTTCCTTAAGTTGCTTTTGGTAGAATTTTTTTTGTAAAGACACCTGTAAAATCATGCCAAAGCAAAAACAGTTCACTGATCGCGATAAAGAAAAAATTATTTTATTGGCTGAACAAAATGTGTCAAATCGGCAAATATCGGCTGAAACACATTTCAATGAAAGCCCAGTGCGTCGCTTTTTAAAAAAATATCGTGAGACAGGTGAACTAAAAAGAAAAGAAGGAACAGGTAAAAAAATGCACCACGTCACGAGAAGATCGCTTTATTACGAGGACGAGCCTGCAGGATCGTTTCAAAACTGCAGTGCAGATAAGATCAGAGGTTCAAGAACAGTTTTTAATAGATATTTCGGAGCGAACTGTTCTACGTCGGCTTAACTCCATGGGAATGCTCGCAAGATCACCTGCAAGGCTTATGGCTCTGTCCCGTACTAGAATATTTCATCAATAAACAACAAAATGGCGAACGCAATATCCTAACCTCGCTTCACACTTACTGAACGGCTGATGCACGGCGTGGGTAGTTTGCTATAGAGCAAACAGGAGAGAAAGAAAGGCATTCGAGAGAAGGGGAGAGACGACGTGTCTCGGTTCCTCCCTCACATCGTTCAGCGCTTGCGATGCGAGAGAACGACAGAGAGAGCGAAGAGGCGAGAGTGGGAAGGAGCAGCTGCTCCTTGGCCCCGCCCATTTGACGGATTTCGGTAACGCTCCGAACTTACCGTTTTACTCGCCTATTTTCAATCTGCCTTGGGGCCGCGCCTAAAGAAGTTTTACTTCAAAAAGGATAACATTTTTACGCAAGAAACTGACATTTATGAATTTTTGTCGTGTTTTTCGGACTTTGACGCAATTTTTTCGGTACAACTTCCAAAAATCGGTATCATTTTTGCCTCGTTAATTCTGAATAAAACAAGACCATTTATTAGGAAATTATGAAAATTGTTGAAGTTATAACGCTTTTCCCAAAACAAGTCAGTGCATGTCAGTACTAGCGCTTTTACTAGCAGTGCAATTATGAATGCAACATCTACTCACAGGTCACAAAACCTTTATTTTCGTTTACTACATACCTTGAACTTTGAGAAAATGCTAAAATTGATTTCAAACAGACAAAATCAAAAAAAGTATCGCAAATATAAAAAGACATCGATCTTTGCTAAATTCAGCACGTGAAAATTGTATAGTACCATATGTTAGCTTTGAGAGCTTACAGCGTATCTAGTTGATCAAGTTTATAGGTTTCGGTATTTTTTTAACGATATTCAATTATTTGACTATCGGTAGGAAACAAAATTTTAATGAATTTTAACAGTTGAAAATTTGCTTAATCTGACGCTAGAATAGCCAAATCGGCCACTGGGCACTGATGGCTATGTGAAAGCATTGTACACCCCAAAGTGAGCCGGGTTGCGATTATTGCCGTGCGATCCAGGACGAAAGGGAATCGTTCATAAGACAAATTAAGAGCTGATTTTATGAGTGGATGAAAAATTGTTGTTTCAATAACCAATCAATGACCAATTTTATGCACTTTGATCTCAGTTCAGCAGTCATCAGCTGCTAAAGAAGTACTAAGATAGCGTAAGAAATCCGCTATTAGTTATGCCTTGCGGCTCCCTGCATACGTACACCCCACCTACCGTCCTACCGACACAAGGGAAGCTGGCGGCAAGTAAGAATAAGAAAGAAGCAAAGTTATGTGGTAGAGACCATTGTAGTCCGAACATAATACCTTAAAGAGATCAAGCTGGGCATGTGTCGAACTAAGGAGTAAGTAGTCCTAGTAAGTAGGAGCTAAGGAGTAGAGGACTAAACATTCTAGTCCTTCTTCTGGGAACTTTAAATTTGAAGCGGTTTAGTCAGTGCTGGCTCTCTACACCACCATTAATAACGTAGTGTAATAAAACAACACCCAGCATTCAAGCATTGAACACGAATTAAAATATGAATTTAAAACATATATTATCAAGGGATCTAACATGATTTTAAACCAGGGGTGGGCAAGCCCATGGCTCCTCGGGCTCTCAAGGCTCCCTCCGTTATTCGTAATTTTTGGCGTCAGCAAATCGGTCCAGACGGTCGGGTCGCGCGGCCAGTGAGTCGTGGAGATTTACAAAAACAATGCTACACAAATTTCGAAGCAGGTGCGGACCCGACTCCTCGGTCCCGAGTTTGCAACAACAAAAAATAAGGGTGGGTTTGCGCACAAGCAACTTAAAACAAAAACAATTTTAAAGCGAACTGCGCAGTTGTCGTCGACTTCTGCACAGCCAAAAAAGTTTGGAAGTCATTCTGTGCAGTGAATTCAAGACAATAATAAATAAGTTACAAAATAATAAAAAATTAAATGTACTGAAACTGTTTTTGTCAGTGTATTCTTTTTGCTCGCACATTCTGGCTCGTGGCAGCGACGCATCGCGACGGAGGTGGTTGTTGTTGTAATTTGTTGTTTGGCCGAGCTGCGGCTTCGACCGTTAGATTTCGTGCCCACCACTGTTTTAAACCGATCCCTTGCAGGCAAACATAAATATTTATAAGTGGTGCGTTAAGCTTATCGCACTTAAGGATGTAGTCTCCTGTGTAAGGTTGAAAAAATCGATTTTTTTTTTCACATATTTCGATAGTATTGTTTATTAAGAATGTACTGTTAAAGTTTCAAATAAAAATATCAAATAATGACAGAGATACAGCCCATAATCGAGAGCGCGCCAACACCGAAAAGTATGAGTTTCTCGGTAGCGTCAAAACTTTAAACGCGTTTTTCTCGGAACGACATTTTTGTGTGCGGCGCAGGTGATTCACATAATTCTATGGTACCGATCTAGCTGAAATTTGGATGTTGTTCTAAAAAGTAACACCTCTGTCCCGTACTAGAATCATTTATTTTTAATGATTAGTTTTTTTTTATCATTAATTTAAGACAAATTTTTTAAATTAAAACACATTTTTTTTTTGTGTGTTCGCCATTTTGTTGTTTATTGATGAAAATATTTCATTCTAGTACGGGACAGAGCCATAAGCTTACAAAACAATAATCTATTCTAATTTTTTGTTTCGGATGACTCTAGCAGTCGAAATCACCTGCGTCAGGGACCTACCTTTTTTTTTTATATGCATACTTTGGCATGCTATAAAGTGTATTAAACTACACAAGAATAAATTAAACAAAATATTTTCAAATAGTTTATGATGCCTATAAAAACATATGTGAAAATTGAAACGATCGCATTATTTTTTATTACAAAAAAAATTTCTTGATATAACCTCTAACAAGAAAGGAAAGCTAACTTCGGGCGGAGCCGAAGTTTATATACCCTTGCAGCTAAAACCGGATATATATCGCAAACATCGGATATAGTTGGCCGATCCTTATGAAATTTGGTAGGATGGATCAAAATATAATCTGTACCAAGTTCCAGCTTTCTATCTTCAAAAACACAAAAGTTGGGTCATTTCCGATCGTTCAGTTATATGGCAGCTATAGGATATAGTCGTCCGATCCTAATGAAATTTGGTAGGTTGGATCAACTAACCAAAAATAGAGTCTGTACTAAATTCCAGCTTTCTATCTTCAAAAACACGAAAGTTGGGTCATTTCCGATCGTTGAGTTATATGGCAGCTATAGGATATAGTCGGCCGATCCTTATGAAATTTGGCATGTCGTATTATTTTGCCAAAAATAGCTCTCATGTCAAATTTGAACTCTCTAACTCTAAAAACACTAAAGTTATACCATTTCCGATCAATCAGTTATATGGCAGCTATAGGATATAGTCGGCCGATCCCGGCCGTTCCGACTTATATACTGCGTGCAAAGGAAAGAAGGGTGTGTGCAAAGTTTCAAGACGATAGCTTCAAAACTGAGAGACTAGTTTGCGTAGAAACAGACAGACGGACAGACGGACAGACGGACATGCTCATATCAACTCAGGAGGTGATCCTGATCAAGAATATATATACTTTATAGGGTCGGAGATGTCTCCTTCACTGCGTTGCACACTTTTGGACAAAATTATAATACCCTCTGCAAGGGTATAAAAAGTAGGCCGGAACATGAGACTACATCCTTAAGTACTGCGGAATATACCTGTGAGGCATCGCCGCAGAATGGAAAATTTCGACACTTAGACACTTTGGCCGGACTCTATCTTTTGACATGTTATTTTTAAGACTCTAAAGAATTTTGTAAGCGAAAAAATAAATTCGATTTTTTCAAAACTTTACTCAGATGTCCCCCCTCAGATGTCCTCAGGGGTCACTTAGCATGTCAACGTGCAGTGCGTTGATAAGCATTTTTTATATAGATTAAACATTTTCATGTATTTTTCTTTGAAATTGAAATAATTGTATGAAATAAACTCAGTTTCAAAACCAAACTCACTGGAGTAACACAAATATTATTTTGGGGCTCCTCTTAACACAAGTTATTTAAGGGGTTATATACAGTTGTGATAGATGAAAAGATCGATAGATAAATAGATTGTGATATTTAAATTTTTTATTCCATATTCTTTTAGTATATACTGTTGAGAGTACTCGCTATTTATAGCGCACTACCTGCACATCAAACTTGAACAAACTTGAAACTTACAACACGATTATCTCAGAATCTTGTTTTTTTTTTTAAAATACCTTTGCGGTGGAGAAGATTACTAAAAAAAACTATTAATCCGATCAACACCAAATTTTGACCACTTATTAATTATGATAATAGCTAGTCCGTAAACGAAGGATTTTCAATTTTTTTTGAAAATTCTTTTTTTAGAGCATAAAAATTGAAAATCTTATACCTTGAAAAAGTACATTTTTTGTTAAAAACGTCGCCATTTTTTTTTTAATCAAAATTTTTACAAATCCTTCGTTCACGGACTAGGCAATACAATATACTAATGAAATATTTTTGATTTTGGAATTTTTGAATGAATTTTTGATTTCGGATGAACCGTTCTTGGGATATAATGTCTACCGTAAGACACCATCTAAAAAAGATGATCCGGGAATTCGGCAATAACATTTTTTTTATGTAATACTTTTTTATGAAAAAATTTTATTAAGTACCCAGAAACATGTACTAAACAACGTCGGTAAAAAATTTTTCATAAATATTTTCTGTGTCAAAAAAAAAATCGATAAAATTCCATTTTTTTGCGCGGTACAATTGTATATAACCCTTTAAGAGACATCAAAGGCCTCCCGACCGAAGGTTTTCGCAACAACTGCACCTAATGTAGGATATATTAAAACCTCGGATGGCAGCTGGACCACGTCTAGTAGAGAAACCCTAGAGGCTATCACAAATGCACATTTCCCAGGGTATTCTCAGGAATAAATAAGGAAGAAAACGCAGAGCCAGAGGGACAGCCCCTCCCTTCCAAGCCAACTCGAATAGTTCTTGAGTAATAGATATCTCAGTTGGGCGAAAAACAGTTTCAACCCCATCTAATCTCCAGGCCCAGATAGCATTTTCCCGGCACAATTAATCAAAGCCGGATCCAATCTGTGGTCATGAGTTAGGAAAGTCTTCACAGCAATTTTCAGAATAGGCATCGTGCCCGCGACGTAGTTGCGGACGAAGGTTTTCCCAATACCCAAAGCGGAAAAACCATCGCACTGCTCCCCTAAGGACTTAAGACCTATAAGCCTATCATTCTTCCTCCAAAAAACAATGAAGAGACTAGTCAGCCTCCACATTAATCTTACCATTAACCCAGATGACTTTTCGAGATCACAGCACGCGTATAGGAAGGGCCGATTCACTGCCATGATCGATAATTATAATATAATCATAATGCGATAATAATCAATGCTCTGACGAGACTAGCGGTAGAAGATCAATCTGTACGCCTTATAAAGCAGGAGGAGAATCTATTCAAAGATACGCCAGAAGAGGCCCTCCGAAAACCATTTGTATATTTTCAGATAGTCAAGCGGCACTCATAGCGGATTCTTATCGAATTCTTGACGGATACTCATCGAACCCCAGGATAGTGAATGACTGTCGCAGATCTCTTAACGAGGTGGCGGAATCAGCTTGACATCCCCCTCATATGGGTGCCCACGCATAGGGCATAGGGACCACGAGGGAAATTGCGCCGCTGATGAACTAGCAAGAGCAGGTACTACCAACCCTCTCCTCCCGGAGAAAGAACTAGTAGACATTCCCTTAGCAACGTGTAAGCTGAAATGCAGGGATCACTTCGACCTGGTAGCACTGAGGAAATGGATGAATCTCCAAAACTGCAGGAACTCACACATGATACGGCCCACCCGAAAAAATCTGTGATGTTTCTTGCCCTCAATAGGCAGGACTGCAGAAAGGCGAGCACTCCTTTGGGCACATTAGTAGATAGGAAGCGAAAGTGCCTTTGTAAGACCTCTTGCCTGCGGTATCATTAGGAGCCCTAGCGGCTCAAGTGGATGAGGGTGTCAGTGACTGGCCCCGCTTCGCCGCTTCCACCAAACCTAACCTAAGTATTAAATCATTCGCTAAACAGCGGTTTAAAAAGCTGAAAAGCTGAATACATAAAAATGTTTACAAACAAAAAAACGCAAGCTTTTTAATTCTTTTATGTTCTGAAATGCAAAAAAGTGGTCTTTTTCTCTTATGAGATCAGAATAAAACAAGAAAGGAAAGCTAACTTCGGACGGGGCCAAAATTGATATACCCTTGCAGTTAAAACCGGAAAATATATAATCTGTACTAAGTTCCAGCTTCAAAAACACAAAAGTTGGGTTATTTCCGATCGTTCAGTTATATGGCTGCTATAGGATATAGTCGGCCGATCCTTATAAAATTTGATAGGTTGGTTCAACTGACCAAAAATATAATCTGTACTAAGTTCCAGTTTTCTATCTTTAAAAACACAAAAGTTGGGTCATTTCCGATTAATCAGTATATGGCAGCTATATAATATAGTCGGTTGATCTCGGTCGTTCCGACTTATATACTGCAAAAGAAAGAAGGGTGTGTGCAATATTTCAAGTCGATAGCTTCAAACCTGAGAGACTAGTTTTCGTAGAAACAGATAGACGGACATTCTCATATCAACTCAGGAGGTGATCCTGATCAAGAATATATATACTTTATAGGGTCGGAGATGTCTTCTTGACTGCGTTGCAAGGGTATAAATTTCTGGTAGTCTGTAAGTATACCATAATCTAGAACAGTGGTAAGCACTCAATGCGTTGATATAGTTTTAATGCAGTGGTCGGAACCCCAATACATTGATATGATTTTAAAACATTAGTTTTAGTAACGAATAGCAGAAAGTAGGCTGTGAGCATGACGTTTATACTATACATTTATACTGTGTGTGTGCGGTAGAGCTGGGGCAGAGTACCGATCGAAATTTTCACAGGATATACAACACATTTGTCTCCGAAGTGGATGATTTCTTTTTATAATGGTTACTTTTTTAATATCAACAATTTTGTAGTGTTTTTTGCATATGTTGAGTTGAGTAGTTGAGTTTGATTACGCGTAATTTTACAAAAAATCAATACCTCAAAAAAATTCTAAGCACGGCTACAATTCTATACTACAATTTTTGCTCTAGATCAAAAATAAAGGACGGTAGGGGTCCTGCCATTGACCCTTCAAACAAAAAAAGGCACCTTGTGGCATGTACCATGCAGCCGCCATTTTGATGTCAATGTTTTAAATTGAAATATTATATTTTTGACTTCAAGGGTACTATTATAAAACCTTTCGTTACACATTTTCGATTGATTATTTTAATTAGCCAAAGAAAATCCCGAAGTTACATAGCTGTCCGCAAGTTACACAGATGTTCCCCTATAGATACTGCATATATACCTAATTGAAAAAGTTTCCTTTTTTTGTGGCAAAACTATTCAAATTATAATTTAATTAAGATTATGGAATGACACTTTCTAGTCTCACTAGAAATATATTACTTACCCTTGTACAAGTATGCAGCTATTCGTCTAAATTCAGTTAGTTCGTGCTTTTCAAGTTTTTGAGCTAGCGCAATATTATCAAAATTGTCAAAGCCATCAATTGAATTACGTAACCCTTGGTAATCCTCCTCGTCAATTAAAAGCGCATTAAGAGCTTCGTTAATTGCCTTATTATTAAGAGATTGAACAGAGCGTAAATAAGGCTTGACAAGCGGAAGATATCCAGTTTTTGAAAAGTAACTAACAGCACGGGTATGATCCATTCTGGGTGCTAGTACAAGAAGGATATCATTCAATAATAATGGTTTAAATTCAAGATAAAATTCAATGGCTTTGTAATATAATTCAATGTTTGCCACTTTTGTTATAATGTCTTTAAAATGTCCTTCACGCCACGCTTCAGTGGGATGAGCCATCATAGCTAAAACAGCATTGTCATACTCTTCGTATTTATCATAAAGAAAAACCAATTCAGACCACAAATGAGCCGATTCTGCAGCCCTAAGAACTTTTGGTATATTTACACGAGACCAAAAAAGTTCCAGATGTTCTCTCATTTTTGAGGGTTTGAACTTTGAATACAATATAGCAAGCTCTGTGAACATTCCCATGTGTGCACGCTCTAAACCCAGGGCAGATTCGAGTAACGCTATTAATTCATCAAAATATCCTCGATTCTGATAATAATTTATTAAATCCTCAAGTTCATCTGCATGAACCACAATGTGTAACCCACACATTTGAGCTAGTCGAAATTCTTCTGCATTTACGCATGCAAAACATACTTCCTTCCAGGTCCGAGTAGAGTTTGCTTTTCGCGCAGAGTCAACGGCTCCTTGAAATTCCTTAAGATATACCAGCGTTATTGCTAATCGGGCAAAGTTGCTGACGTTATTATAAAGCAGTTTTGCAGCATCATACATTCCATCACTAAAACAACGGTCACCAATTTTTTGAATGTCTGCATGATTAGGGCCTGATATAAACTCCTCGAGATCGGCTAGCCTTCCTGTCCGCGCATACGCATATATTAATTCACTTTCAATATAAGATTCACGTGCTTTTTTGCGAGCCATTTGTAAATAACGAACAAGGTCGTCCCATGATTCTACTTTACTGGCTACATCAACTACATCGACATATGCACTCGGATCATCAGCTTTAATATATGAATCGATTGACTCTTTTACCAACCCTTGCTGAAGCTGAGCTTTAGCCAACTGGGACCACACTGCTGCTTCGTTACAACGTTCAGCAAATTCGTTAGCCCTCTCCAAGTTGTTCACTTGATCAATGAGTACCTGAATAGCGGAAGTGTTTACGTCAAACTTCTTAAAAATAGCAAAAGCTTCTTCGTACAATTGGTTACTTATTGCAATATTTGCAATGTCTGGGGCGTCGTAGTTGTCCAAACGATTGATGTAATCCATGACACGTGTCCGATCTGCTTTGATGGCTGTAAGAATAAGCAAATTTTGTAGATTACGATGGTCGCTAAACACTGATGAGTCCAAGATAATCTTTTCAAGAAGTTCAATAAGTTCATTAGGTAAATCAGCAGTCATAAATGCTTTGACTGTCACCGATATATCATCGGGGTCTTGAGTTTCAGACAAAGCAGTCTGAACAACTTGATCAATTAATGGACGCTTATAAGGATTAGATTCGGAAAGCACTTCTGCCCACAGTTCTGCATCTCGTCGGCCAACTAAATACCTGGCTTCACTTTTAAAAAGTGAATTTTCGTTACAAACTGCTATCAATTCGCGGTCACAATGACCCCTTTCATACGCGACACAAGCCAAGTGGGGATCACGCTTCTCGCAATATCGTCCCACCACTCGACTGTCGTAGTATTGATTTTCCTTAAGAAATCGCTCTGGATTGTTGTTTGAATCAATGTAAATCTTGGCCAATGCGTTGTGTGTGGCAGCCTCAACGCAACCTTCATGAACACGTGATTCTAGCCAGGTCAAAAGAAGTTTTAGGCGATTGCGTTTTTCAACTTCTTCCACTAGTTCATCGGTGGAAAATTGTCCCTTGACAACTAAAATAAGATTTTTTATTATATCTTCGCTGCAATCAACATCAAGGAGTCCACCCACTACAACTGGTAAACGAGAAGGGTTAACTTTTTGCACATAAATTTCAATATATTTTTGAAGATTATTACGGTACAGGTAAAGAACCAAATCGTGAACAAAGTCAAATCGATCGCAAACAATAATTAAGGGAAGTTGATCAGTAAGTTTTGCTTCTTTTAGGAAATTTTTTACTCGTTCTGGATTATAGCAATTTGATTCACGACAAATACGCTCAACTTCCTTAATTTGATTGGTTTTGCATGCAGCCTGTATATATTTAAAGTGAACCTCAGGATCTTGTGAAAAATTCACAATGCTGCTTAGAAAGTAAAATAAGCCGTCGTAGCTTTTAAAGCTTTCAAAAAGATCAATAAGAGCTTTTGTAGTAAGCTGTTCATGGTATTTGGTAGCAATCTGTACGCAAATTTGGAGGTTTTGACGTAAATTGGCTGTAAGCATCGCTTTAAGACATTCTATGGAATCCTCTACAGATAAAGTGCCAAAGAAACTTACCAACCATTCAGCATTAAGCATGTGAGTATGAACAACGGCTCTTTTAATATCATAAAGATCTGTATAATGCTCAAGAGCACGTTGCAGTAATCCTGCTTTCTCACACAACTGAGCAATATGGGCACGATCGTAATGGGTAAACATGGCGTTACCTAGAATAGCATCAGCCACTTGGGGCGCAGACATAAGATTCATTTCAAGTAAACGCGTCTGAAGAGCACCTTCTGAAGCTCGATTATGCTTAAGAGCATCTAAAAGAAAGGCTGTACACTGCTGCACCATAGAATGCTCCATAAATATATCCACAATTTGGCTGATATCCGCCAAAGGCTCTTCTTCTGCCACAAGCATAGTGGCAAAGCCAGCACCTTGTTCAGGACTGCTTCGCATTACTGATCGCAAAAGATAAACATAATCAGGTGTGAAGTTTACTTTTTTAGCGTAAAGTACAATTTTTTGGAACTGCCCAGTTTCAGCAAAACATTGAATGACCTTGTTGGGAACATTTGCCCGCAAGTATATGGAAAGAGCAAGAGTCAGATCGGAGGCCTTTACGAGATCACCTAGCTCCTCGCTGCACTCTAATTTTTCTTCTTTCAGCCACTTTTCGCACAATTGTTTCTTTCCTTGCAATAGAACTGGACGGCACAGCTCCAGAGATTCAAACTTATTTAACTTTCCCTGGTCCAAAAGAATTCCGAAATATTGGAGCAATGGAGGTGTTGTCGATCCTGCTGGGGTTTGAACTTGCTGAAACCGTTGAATGGTCTGTGGAGTACGCAAAATGGCTTTGGGTGCTAGCGCAGCTACTTTTGCAGCTTCAGCATATTGACCTGCTGTAAATAGCTTATTAAACTTGCGTACAAAAAGTTCTTCGGCGCCGGCCAAGTTATTACGAACAGCCATGCGTAACGCTAAATCAGGATTTTGCAAGACAGTATTAATGTACGGAATTATCTGTTCCTCATCCACAGTAACAGATAACACTTGTCCTTTACGATTGACGCCTATAATACCTCCGCTGGATTCGTGCGGTGCAGTTACAAAAATAGTGTCAGCAGATATTCGATTCATATAAATACATGTAGCTGTTTCCATGTCGTAAAGATGAATATAGCCGTATTTTGTTATTAAATATATTGTATCATACTTGACCGAAACTTGCATAGCCACTGGGAAATCATTTTGAGCTTCTGGTGGAAAGAAAACATCTACAGCTTTTTTAGGAAAAGCCTGATTACCATTCGGCGGCGTTCCTACTTCGATAATATGAAGCTTGCCGCCAGTAGCAGTACGTACAGCAAAACAAAACAACGTTGTTGGCTCTTTATTACCATCAATTTTAAAAGTGGCAAAACTAGCAGCGTGACCTTCAATAGCTTGTGAAACCTTGCGTTCTACTGAATATAACTGCATAGCACCCGCAACTCGGCTGGGCAACGCTGATATGCCTACCAGAAGAAGCCATTGTTGCGTAGAGTTGCATCGGTAATTAATTATTTGGCATCCATTAAGAGAAGAATGTCTGTCAAACATTTTTTGAGGCATTGAGTCACCTTCCATTGACCAATGAAATACACTCGTTTCCGTTACAAGCGCTAAAGTATTTAGTGATATCCATTTCCAAAAAACCACATCTTCACTCATTGTATGCGCCTTCATTTTTGATTTCATTTCAATATTAAAAATCTGCAAGGTTTTTTGCGCTAAAAATAACAAAATAAATATAATAAAAAAAAATTTTTTTTTATTGTTATTATTCTATTAGGATTTAAATTTTGTTTACCTTTAAGGGCAATGACCTTGCTGGCCGGATTCATAATTGCAGAGTCCGCTGATATAGGTCGACGAGTAGGATTAGTAGCATCATTCATATCGATTATAACCACTTGGGCAGTATCGTTTACTTTCTCCCGAACACATATAAACTTATCCGATTCCATCGTAAGAGTGCTGAATGAAAATGAGTTTGCATTGATCCCAACATTTGTAAGCTGTTTTCAAAATCAAAATAAATATAGCATTAGAATAAACAAGAAAGAAAAGCTAACTTCAGGCGGAGCCGAAGTTTATATACCCTTGCAGTTAAAACCGGATATATATCGCAAACATCGGATATAGTTAGCCGATCGTTATGAGAATATGATAATATAACCCAATTTGTTATAATACAAAATCTAAAAAAAGTCCGAAACTTCTATCTCCAAAAATACCAAAGTTGGTATTTCTACCAAAAACCATTTCCGATCGTTCATTTATATGGTAGCCATAAGATATAGTCGACCGATCGTTATGAAATGTAGTAAGTTGGATCAACTGACCAAAAATAAAATCTGTACTATGTTCCCGCTTTCTATCTTCAAAACACGAATGATACGTTGGGTCATTTTCGATCGTTCAGTTATATGGCAACTTTAGGATATAGTTAACCGTTAACTCTAAAAACTCAAAGTTATCCCATTTCCGATCAATAACTTATATGGCAGCTAGTGGATATAGTCGGCCGATCCCAACCGTTCCGACTTATATACAGCGTGAAAAAGAAAAAAGGGTGTGTGCAAAGTTTCGAGTCAATAGCTTTAAAACTGAGAGACAAGTTCGCGTAGAAACAGAAACAGGCAGACGGAATGCTCTTATCAACTCAGGAGGTGTTCCTTATCAAGAATATATATATATTATAAGGTCGGAGATGTCTCCTTCACTGTGTTGAACACTTTTGGACAAAAATATAATAACTGCCATATGACTAAACGATCGGAAATGGTTTTTGGTAGAAATACCAACTTTGGTATTTGGGGTTTAATTGGAGTTTTTTTTTTTAGATTTTTTATTGTAATTAATTGGTTTTATTATGATATTCTCATAAGGATCGGTTAACTATATCCGATCTTGGCGTGTGTATCCGGTGTTAACTGCAAGGGTATATCATTCTTTAAGGGGTTATATACAGTTGTGATATATGAAAAAATCGATTTTTTTTTATTGCATTCTTTAAGTATATGGGCAATTCCACAGAAAGGTCAACCGTGAACGAAAAATTAAATGATAATAAATCCATATTGTATAAACTTTTTTAAACTAAGAAATAGTTAAATTTTTATATATTAAACAGTTTCAGACTCAAATATATTCTAATGGCAAAATACGTGGGCCTAAAGTTCAACATGTACATTTTTTCATTTCGCAACATTTTTGATGGCTTTCCTTTTTAATTCATTATTCTAAATAGAGATCAACTATGCTTATGCCAATGCGTTTTTATCTATCTCAGAGAAAAAGAGAAGAAAAAAATACACGGGAAGATAAGGAATGCATAATCTTAGCTTACGTTTTAATTTATATTTCGCTAATTTCAATGTCGCGTGCGTTCCGTATTTGGAGCATTTATTATCATTACATCGGTGTCGATAATTGAAAGTGGTTGAAAATTTATTTCTAAACAGAGTTTATAGCCTAAAAACTAAAAAATATTTTTCCATATTTTTACGGTGAGAACTTGTTAAGGTTTTTAATACATTAAGTGTGTCGCGTGCGTTCCCAATGTAAGTAAAAAATTATAATTTTTTTCTACATTGATGAGCTGTGTATATAAAATTATTCATAAAATTTATAGATTACTCCAGGTGCTGTTTCAGGTAGGTGCTGTTTTAAAAATGAAAGTTTGGCAAGTTGTAAAAGCCGAACATTTAGTACAAAAAGACGCTTATGCATTTTATGAATGCGCAAAACAGCATATAAATAGTGTTGAACTACTATATATTTCAACAAAGGATGTTGACGAGTATATACCACTCTTAAATAAAACATGGAGGAAAGTCCCAAGTATTTATGGACTTCATAAATTGCATCACTTAACATGTGATCGAAAATATTAACAAAAGCAGCACAGACTGCTTTTTAAAGTCGCCTGATATTAACATTTTTGTGAGATTTAATCAGAAACTATTAAAAATACTTAATTCTTTTTTTTTTTTAAATATAATAAAACTGATTTCTTTTCATAGGACTTGTTTTTAATGTGATATAGTACTAGGGAAATTTTTGTCGCGTGCGTTCTGTCGCGTAACGTTCCAAACTTTAATTTCTTAAAAATAAACTACCTAATCTTTTTTAATGACTCATTTATCGAAAGAAAGGTAAATATGTCCCCTAATTTTGTAAAAGACCGCATAAAAAAATATCAAGCCAATTCGCTGAATTCTGAGCTTGAGTGGACTTAAAAAAAACCACTTCCGTTTTTTGTCGCGTGCGTTCCACACAATGTTTGCTCATATCTCAGGAACCTTTCATCGCCAGCCCTCAAATTTTTTACCAAAAATAGTTCAGTATTAAGGTTCTTAAACACTGAAAACATTGGGTGAAAAAAACCAATACTTTTTTTTTATTGCACTTTAAACGCGTACGATTGTCGCGTGCGTGTCTATGGAATTGCCCATATTCTATTGGGAATACTCTCACTAAAATTCATAACGATCGGAGCATTAGAACCTAAGCTGTAGCTATTTCTAGCGCACTATCTGCATATAAAACTTGAACAAACTTGAAACTTTAAACGCGGTTATCTCAGAATCTTTTTTTTGGGAAATTACCTTTGCGGTGGACACGATTACTAAAAAACTACTAATCCGTGAACGAGGGATTTTTAGTTTTTTTGAAAACTCCTTTTTTAAAGCACAAAAAACAAAAATCTTATACGTTGAAAAAGTAAATTTTTTGTTCAAAACGCCATTTTTTTTAATCAAAATTTTTAAAAATCCCTCGTTCACGGACTAGACAATACAATATACTAACTAAACTTTTTTGAATTTTGGATTTCGGATGAACCGTTTTCGAGAAATCATGTCCACCGCAAGACACCATCGAAAACAGATGATTCGGGAATTCGGCTATAACATTTTTGTTATGTAATATTTTTTTATGAAAAAATTTAATTAAGTACCCAGAAACATGTACTAAACAACGTGGGTAAAACATTTTTCATAAATATTTTCTATGGTGTCAAAAAAAAATCGATAAAAATCCATATTTTTGTGCGGTACAACTGTATATAACCCCTTAAAATATGATTGTAAAATTTATTGATTGTATTACATATATCATTAACATAAAAAAAATTTAATAACATCCTTTAAAGTTTAAACTATTATGATACCTTATAAATAATTTAATAATAAAATAATAATAATACAAATAATTTAATAATAATATAATAATAATAATATAAATAATTTAATAATAATATAAATAATTTAATAATAATATAATAATAATAATTATATAATAATAATAATTATATAATAATAATAATATAAATTATTTAATTTTATAAATAAAGTATTTGGTGTCATTGGTCATGCCGTTAAAATTTGTTTTTTTTTTTTTTGTCGTACAAAAAATTACATGCCCAAATATTTTTTTTTATTTTATTTTTATTGATATTGTTATTTGTTTTAAAGTTTCAATATCGGTCGTTAGAAAGTAGTTTAAATTAACGAAAGTTTTAGAAAATCAGGAATATTATATAATACTTACTTGCAAATGTTCTTGAAAACGTATCGGTAGCGGTTGCGCCATTTTAACTTATTTTGGAAAATTGTAACTGATATGAAATTTTAGTAATCAATCAATAACCGCTTATTTTCGTGGACGAATTTGTACTTATTTTCCGCTTTTAAATAAAAACATCCCAGTTTTTCTTTTATATTACAAATTTTCATTTGTCCATGAACTCCTAAATATAAAAAAAATACAAATAAAATTATTGTTTGGGTAAAATTCTTAATATAAATATACTATTAGGTTATTGCCTCTATACTATTAGGTTATTGTTATTATAAGAAATATTACCTCAACTGTAAAATATGTTTCAGGGATATACGATGCACAAAATCCTTCAAAATATTCTTAATTAGAATCCACATTAATTAGAATGCTTAATATTTTGGCGTATGCCAGAAACGCATGGCGCATAGGCGGGGGTTGTTTCCTATACCTATTAAAATGGGTATATTAATCCTATTGAGACTTTTTATAAAAAAATAGGCATATTCGATTTGATTTCGTACGAAATGAATCATTATTTAAATTAACGACTGCAAAGATCTTCAAATTCTGTTTACTCTCTGTTATTTTAGATATTAGAAAAAAAATGAGAAACGCAAAAGTAAAAAAATACCCTTTAAAAATATCCTACTCAAGACACTTTTCCGACGCCCTCTTCCACTCTATAAATAACACTACAAAAGGAGCGCCAGTACAGGAAGGTTTTTTGAAAAACGTTTGATCCCAAACTATTTCTATTGTTAATTTAAATACTAAAAATAAATTTCTGCCAAATCGACCGATTTTTAAAGAAGATAGAGACATATATATACCAATTCCTTAAAAAAACGTGTTAAAATTTTGAAGGCGTGGGTCTCAAAGACCATAGGAGATAGAACTACACCTGGCCCTTGCTTAAAACGGACTCTTTTAGTACGAACTCGGTCTTAAAAGGGTTTTTTTGCTGTCGATTTACGCGTTAGTGCCTTTTTGCTTGTGTCATACGCAAGGGGTGCTTGTCAAAATAAGGGGGTGTACCACATTTGATTTGTTAGATGTAAGCGTGTTTTAGTAGGTGCAAAGAGCAGACGCGTAAAAAAAAAGTCATAAATTTTGTAGTAACTAAAAAGATGGTACAGCTTGATTAAATCAAAATGTGAATACATAACTAAAATAAATAAATTTCACCTTGCACAATGGCAGAAAAAAAACAAAGCTCCTTTAAAACGAAAAGTCATTTCTATAGAAACGAAAATATAAATTCTAAACCGCTTAGACAATGGTCAAACTGCCACGGAAATTGCAATAAGTCAAAAAAAATAAAACTGAAATACGACGTGCAGGAAGCATTGGATCATCTATATCTAAAAAATTTACCAATAGAGCACGTGCACGTGCAATGTTATACTTTTATTAAAGGCATATACATAATCACTTTTGATTAATTTTGAACAAATTATGAAACTTTAATAAAAACATACCAAACTTGAACAAGGTGTATCGAACAAGGCCAGGTGTATTCGATTTGGAACTTGGAACTTATACTATTAAGCGCAGTTCAAGTTTGTGTCAAAATTGTACACACACACACACACAAAATTAAAGAAAAAAAACATTTTCTCAAACTTTTTTCTTTTGTTTTCGAGTGCATTTGGTGAGTTCTTTTTTTAGTGTAAATTATGGTACTAATGGATGTTTCATTTTCATAATATTGGCAAAAAAAACATGAGGTCGGTTTTGGCTTGCTCTAGCAAAATCAAAAAATCTGCGAATTGAAATGGAATATTTTTATGCAATAACTGTACTTTTAAAAAAGAGGCATGTGGCTTTGTATCGAGTCTATTCCCAACGTAGCACAGTGGTCGATTTGGCCTGGCTAGCGGCATTTAATTATGATTTTCAAATTTAAATAAACGTTAATTTAAGTTTACCTATCGATAGTATACACCTTGATTAGATGCTAATTGATGTTTTCTAAGCTCATCAATAAGCTGATGATCAGCTGTGAACTGTCAAAGTCAACATATGCCTCAGCAGTTGATATTTACATTTTTGGCGCCCTTTTACTTATTGGTTGCATATTTGAATAAATAGTGAAATTTACGATTATTCTAGTGCAAGTTTGGTTTTTAACAACTATTAAGGTATGTGCTACATAGAAAATCTGTGCTTGTGACGTGTCAGTATATGTGTTACTTATAAATTGTAGTGGATTTGGAATGTATTTACAATGTGCGGAATAGAGCGCACACCAGTCTTTCGTGAAGTAGAACTTAACAAATTCACCTGCATTCACTCTGGTTGCAATTGTCAAATGTCAAAAATGAAGTGCGTAGTCCTGCGTATCTACAAGTTATTTCACTTTTTAGGAAGAATGTCAGTGTCGAAGCACGCACTTTCTTTAGTATGGCACGGCGAAGCCGTTACAATCAAATATGATTGTAACGAAAAGGAGTTTTGCAAAGTTGGGGAAAAATAGTAGTTTTAATAGTGGGCTTGTCCAGTATAAATAAATAAATAATCAAATCAACAAACTATCAGGCATTTCGGAGAAAGTATCGACGGATGCACTGTTGTTGGCTGCAAGTAGCCGCTTCTATAAGGACGGAAATACATCAAGAATTGTGTCGAAGCTGAATGCTGACGAAGAGCTTACCGGGGATATTATAAGAACTGGAAGTACGGCCGATACTAAAAGTACTAACAATGGAAACACTGCACGAAGTTTTTTTCCAAATTTAGCTGCGCGCATAAAAAGAGTAACCAAATTTTAATTTTCCGATTTAGCATTGTCCTGCGAGCATTGTCCTGTGGACATTACTTAAACACCAATGCATTCGGATCGTACGCTATGGAAACTGCCGAAATTTTTTTTAATAAATACCCTTGGTTTGACATGCCATCGTCTACTATTCACAGAATTTTAATTTTTGTTGTGTATAATGTATATAAAATTTTTGTATACAATGTACATGTTTTTTATTTGCTTCTTGCATAATAAAAGTTATAATTCTATTTCTTACTCTTTTTCTTTAGAATACAAAAAATTTAATAAAAGTCGTTTTTTAAATATAAATAATATAAATATTAAATATAGAAAAACACTATAAATTTCATTTTTGTCCACATAATTCAAAATTGAGTAACAAACCGAAAATAAACCGATTGAAGATATCTCTAATATTTCAGAAGTTATTAATTTAATGCCGCTAGCGAGACTGAATCGACCACTGTGCGTAGTCGCGAACGTACGATTTTTCCATATATATTTTTTTTTGCTTTTTACCTTTTTTGTGTTTATAAATAAATTTAAATTTTCTTAAAAAATCATGTTTCACCAAATTTTTTTTTTAAATTAATATTTAATTTTAATTTTAATTTTATTTTAAATTTAATAAAAAATTTATTAAATTTAAAAATTAAAATTATTGATTTTATTAAAAATTTTTAATTTTTTAAATTTAAGAATTTTTTAATTTTAATTTAACTTCTTTTATCCATCTACAAATATTTATAAGCTTGTTAAACAAAAAAAAAATAATAATATTATTTTGTATACGGTCGCAAACGTACGCAACTTTAAAATTCAATATAAAAAAACTGGCTTGAAAAAGTGGGAATTTTTTTTAAAATTTCAATAGCTTACACTAAAATGACTTAACACATGAAGTTTCATCCACATGCTTTCACTTAATGCGAAGCAATTACAATAAAATTATGTTTTGGGTCGCGAACGTACGATTAGAACATACATGTAGATAAGAATCAAAATACAAATACAATCGTCTTATTAGATTGTTATTAAGAGATTCAGTAGAAAAAGAGCAAACACATCATATGTTTTCCTTGAGAAATAAATAAACATACAAATGTCTTTAAAATTAAAAAAAAAAAAGGTAAAAATTACATTTTTTGACTTTTTGTGCTTTTTTAAAAAAAAAAAAAAAGAAAGGAAAGCTAAGTTCGGGCGGAGCCAAAGTTTATATACCCTTGCAGCTAAAACCGGATATATATCGCAAACATCGGATATAGTTGGCCGATCCATATGAGAATATGATAATATAACCCAATTTATTATAATAAAAAATCTAAAAAAAAACTCCTAAACGACTTTCTTCAAAAATATCAAAGTTGATATTTCTACCAAAAACCATTTCCGATCGCTCAGTTATATGGGAGCTATAAGATATAGTCGACCGATCGTAGGTCGGATTAACAGACCAAAAATAGAATCTGTTATAAATTCCAGCTCTTTATCTTCAAAAACACAAAAGTTGGCTCACTTTCGATCGTTCAGTTATATGGCAGCTATAGGATACAGTCAGCTGACCCTTATGAAATTTGGCATGTCGTAATGTTTTGCCAAAAATAGCGCTCGTGTAAAATTCTAACTCTAAAAACACCAAAGTTATACCATTTCCGATCAATCAGTTATATGGCAGCTATAGGATATAGTCGGCCGATCCCGGCCGTTCCGACTTATATACTGCGTGCAAAGAGGGGTGTGTGCAAAGTTTCAAGTCGCTAGCTTTAAAACTGAGACACTAGTTCGCGTAGAAACAGACAGACAGACGGACAGACGAACATGCTCATATCAACTCAGGAGGTGATCCTGATTAAGAATATATATACTTTATAGGGTCGGAGATGTCTCCTTCACTGCGTTGCACACTTTTGACCAAAATTATAATACACTCTGCAAGGGTATAATAATAATTTATGTCAAAGCTTTTTCTTGCACTTCCTGATTTTTATAAATATGTATGTATGTATGTATGTGCGTACATACAAAATTTAAGCCACATTGAACTATTATTAAATAAATTATACCCATTAAAAGCCATATAGGGTTTTGTTAAAAAAAGACAGTTTTACAAAAACCAATCAGTAAGAATAGGGGCGTGAATATAGTCTAGAAACTTATCTATTGTCTATCCTTTTCTATTAGCCGCCAAGTACATACATACATATGTATATTGTTAGGTACTGAAGTGGCTTTTCCTTTATAATATTCTATGGCAATATGGTATTACGTGGTAATAAATATGTACATTGTCAATATATTTGTATATATTTCGTACATTCGTATGTACATACATAATGTACATATAATGTAATGAATGTATGTAGAGGCATGTGGTAATGTTGGTAAGGAAATAAGGAACCACAAAATGGAAAGAGACGTACATTAGAATAGACATACTATGTACATAGACATATGTACATTTTTTTTATCGACGTTTCTTCCATAAATTTTAAATAAAGTCTGGAAACATATATATACCATTTTTAAAATTGTGTTTTTTTAGTCTTACATATTTTATTCGCGTTTGAAGTTGAAAAAATAAAAAACCGAATATTAATGAGATCCACTTTATGTACATATGTACGTATATGCGTGTAATACGCCATTTTTATTTGCGTTCAAACATTAGTCATAGTGATTGATTACAACTTCTATATTTTCACCTAAAACTGTATATTGTCAGCTTTTGTAATTCTAAATTTTATCATCAATTTTTAATTAAGTAATTTTCTTTTCATCGTTAACTTTTTTTTTTTTTATTTCCTCTACCGAATATTACCAAACACCATACATAAAAAAAAATTTTATAAAAATAATGTCTGTCGATTGATTGTTTTTCATGTATGTATGTATGTAAACATGTAAATTAATGAATCAATAGTTTTAGTTTTATTAACGAGGTGAATATCATAATTACATAAAATCTATTTACCCAGATTTAATAAGAGTTTAGGAACGAATATATATGTGATTAATCACTATTCCTCTTGTGACAATTTTTTTAAATTAAGCAGCACAAACTTGATTTAATAAATTTCATCTGTTGAAAGCAACCAGATAAAAAGTCATTTTTGTATCGAGAATCGGTCCAACTCATAAACGATGTTATGGGATTGGTATGCCGCAATGTTTTGGGAAAATACGAGAAATGGCTAACGCGTTTTGAAAGAACAATGATTTTGGAACAGTTGGCAGCACGGATAAAATTTGCCATATAAGTTCAATAAAAAATAATTTAAATTATTTCTTATTAGTGACTAGTATGTAGGTTTAGTGGACTAAGGTTTAGGCCTGCAAAACGTGGAAAATTTGATTGAAAAATTTAACAAAGAGAAAGAAAACTCTAATGCAATATGGAAATTGCATCCTGCGCAAACGTCTAGTACGGAATGGCCTAACGTTACACTTTTTTATATATGAATAATAATTCTGTAAATATATTTTAGGTCAAAATATAATAAAATTCCGTTTTAAATAATTTATTTTTAGAATTCAAATTGTATTTATTAAGTCGTCGAAAACTTATCGTCGAAAATAAAAAAAGTTAGGATAAATTAAAATAACCTACACTCGTCAGTATTATTTAAAATAAATAACATCGCACAGGTATGTGATTATTTGTTGATAAATGTATGTATGTGCCTAAATTGAAACAATGTACCTAAAAAGACGGACAGACAGACAATTCTGTGGGAATTCAATATCTCAGATACTTAAAATACATTCTTTGACTCTTGCGTGCCTTGTAAATATCCGTTCGTGTCAACATATTCGCCTTGATATATAAAGGTAAAAAGACTACAATTAGTTACTCAAGATAAATTTAAGCTCGGTCCAATTTCAACGTGCATTTTTGATAATGGCGAACCCAACGGCAGAATTCTCCCCGAACCTTGCCGAAATCATAAGATGGGCAAGGGAGATCCTACTCGATTTCCAACCGGCAAAGGTGGGAGTGCGGCAGGAGTCGAAAACAACCGATTTCAGTTGGCGCCTCTTGTAAGGAGAACATACAGTGTGCACAAAGATAAAATACCCAATTCCCGCTGCCCACTCAAGACCAAACATACGTCATGGTGCGTATATTTAAGTCCAATGCCAAGGGCAAAACAGGAAGTTTGAAGCTGGAAGCAGACGTGCAAGTTAACTTTGTTGTTAACTTAACAACTTGTTAACAACTTTGTTGTTAAACCTTTATTTATTAAACTTAATTATTACAAGACACTTTCGTTATTCTTAATTATTTTCCGTCAACCGTTCGCGGTCTCGGTCATAATAGGACTGGCTTCTTAATTCTAAATCTTAGAGGCTTAAGATGGAAATGTCGCATCTTATTGTGAAATTCGATTAAGCTGATCGATGCAATTTGGTGGGTACTTGAAACGCAAAAGGCGTAATTGATTGGGCTTCGGAAGGAAGCTGATGTTTACTTTTGATTTTGATTTGTTTATGGGGAACCGAGATCGGACCTCAGAGCCAAAGACAAAGCCGAAGGCAAATGCAGAGTTTAAAAATATTGTTTATAAAATTCATAAGTGGAAAGCCATAAGTGGCCTGGATTTATGGATTGGTTAATTGAGCCAATGATCAAGCCAAAGGCAAATGCAGAGATTGAAAATATTGTTTATAAAAGCCATAAGTGGCCTGTATTTACGGGTTGGATAACTTGGATGAGCCAGACTTAAAGGTTCCGACCGAACAGGGGCGCCTTAAAGAATTGTCGGAAGAAGGGGAGGACATCCTGAAGGGGTATACCTAAAAAAAGAGCGACTTGGCGAGGGCTCTGAGAGGATTCGGCATGGACTCGCTTTTGAGCTACGACGTCGAGATGAAGGTTACTGTGGTGGAAAATCGTAGTTGTGTATCTTAAATTCCTACATATAAACCTAAAAAAGACCCTAATCTCTTTTTGCTACCCATTTCCAGTAACGAAGCCTGTAGCCGCAGCGTTAGAAAGCCCCATAGATCCTCTACCTCCATCAGGTAGACCCTTGCGTAACCGGTAGCACAAGGTGTCTTAGCGGCTGAAGTGGTTGCGGGAGACGTTTCGCCATCCGCTTAGTCGCCGAAAAACCGCGCTACCACCTTGCAGTAGAAGATGGAGACACTATTCGATGTGTCGATGTCCGTGGGAAACGATGAGGGCAACAACGTCTACCTTTGCTATAGAATCAGTACATATTTTTTGCTACATTTCAGTGCGTATTCTCCAGTCAGGGTATAAGTTGATCATTTCAATATAAAATTGTTATGAAAACAGATACATTACAGATACAACACATTGTCCATGTGTTGCTTTCCCAGCAAAGTCAGACAGACAGTAGGCGGTTCGGAAGATGGTAAAATGTAACAACAGCTAAAAATAAAAGGTAATAAATTCGTTACAATAGTTTTAATAGATTAAACTCTAGTAACTTAACCTCTTTATAAGCAAAATTTGAGACAGATTGGGGAGTTCCACTTCAACAGCTTTTTGACCGAGACACAATTTTTTTTTAGACACTTTTTGAGACAATATTAAATTTTTCTAATGTCTTCCAATCTGAGATGTCAATATCAGAGTTATCAGAGGCTTGCCTTCAAACAAATCTTTGACTTACAGGTGGGATCGCCTGTAAGGATTTTGGTTAAACTGTCGGTAATTCCGCGACATCAGTCCGTTCCGGGGGTCCGCGCGGTTTTTTTCCTTGAGTGGAAGCTACTGGGGTAAATTTTAACTAAGTAGGTCAGTGCACGCAGGGCGTAACGCACTCATTTGTGGAAAAACATTCGAAAATTTTGTCAAAGCCGAAGTTTTGTCCTGTCATTGGAGTGGCATTAGATGTGAGTAACTGCATGTGAGTGTACTGATCCGACTGAATTGCAGCCTCTAAAGATACAACATCCCTAGCAGTGGGCTGGCCACCTTTTTTTTGGGCGACTAATTCAATAGCTGTAAAGTATAAAATAGAGTATCAAGCGCTATGAGTGGATCGATGATTTAACGAATACCACCTAAGAACTCTTCAAACACAGTCTTGGTTTCTCGCCTCAAAGATAGATTTTCTTCCTGGACAGCACGACAACCACTACAACAGTAGTAGAGAACAACCCGGCGAGGAAGAGCACCCGATACCGAAGCAGTGAGGCCTGCACATTTAGCATGTGCAACACTTCCAGACAGCCAGCAGAAGGATTACAGGATTTTCGCAAGAAGGCAATTTGAGATTCCACATTAATTACGCCAGGTTCGCGTAGGCCACAAGGGTATATTGTATTCGTGTGAATGTAAGTAACATCATCGTCTCCGACCCCATAAAGTATATTCCTGATCAGCATCAACAGTCGAGTCGATATAGCCGTGTCCGTGTGAACGCGTGGATCTCAGAGACTATAAAAAAAGAGCTAAAGGATTTGGCATGTAGACTCCTAAAGTTTGTTACAAACTGCTTAAACTCCAAAAATCGTAAATTTTTTGGCGCCAGTACAGGATGATTAAAAAAAATCCAAAATCCTTTTGCCAAACTATTTCTATAGTTAATTTATATTTGCAAAACAAAGTTCAGCCCAATCAGAAAATTTTTAGAGTTATACACTTTTTATTCTGTTTCCCCACTTGCTTCGGGTGTTTTTTTTCCCAAGAAAATAAGTATGCAAAAAAATTGTTTTGCTGAAAATTCATACCTTTAAAGAAACTCGACTATTGGCGTCGTTTACCTTTGAATAAATAAACCTTCAACCACTTTACCAATATATATGTATATCAAAGAGAGTTGATAAAGAATAAGTAAGCTAAAGAATAAGAGCTAAAAGAGAGCAGTGGGTATTGAGAAAGAAATGAAAAAAGCTTGGCAACTGCAAAGACGTATGCAAAGAAGAAGTTAAAAAACCCAAGCAAAACTAGATTTGGAAATATAATTTAAGTTTTTTCACCTTAATTGTGCACAAAATGAAGCAATTCTGCTTTGTATTTATTCGGTTCATTGTAATACTGTATTTTGGATCTTACTTTCCCGTGCTCAAGAAACTTCTAGAATAGTTCCAACAGTTCCGGAATCTTGGTGAAAATTCGGTATTTCCTAGATATATTTCTCTGAGAGATTTTAGGGCCGGTCAGTGGCAAAGAAGATGTTTCACAGTGTCTTCTTCATCCTTGTCCCTGAAGATTCGGCAGTACTTTTTGTGGGGTGAATTGATTCGCCTAGCACGTGTTTGACTAGCCTGTGCCTCGTGATGACTCTGATAGCCGTGCTGATGCGGTTTCGATCCATCCTTAATCCCTTGGTATGTTCTTTTTTTTTGAGATAAGTAACCGATAGCCCATTTGAATCGGAGTTCCTGATGAGTTGTTTCTTTCTATTGAGAGCTTCATTGAGTCAAAATTTATTTTGCTAAGCCCCTTCCCTTCATTTTGAATTGAAGCGGTTCGGTGGTGTCTATACCAGCTTGTATGTTATGCAGTTGCCTGCTATGTCCCTATGACCTGGCACCCAGGTGAGGCTGATGTCATAGTGTTGGGCGTTCTTGTGTAGATATGATTGACATTTTGACACTCTTTAACACCCAAGGGAGTGTCATTGACCATTCCTTTTTTATCGTTTGTAAAGCTGGATTTTTATACCCTTGCAGAGGGTATTATAATTTTGTCCAAAAGTGTGCCACGCAGTGAAGGAGACATCTCCGACCCTATAAAGTATATATATTCTTGATCAGGATCACCTCCTGAGTTGATATGAGCATGTCCGTCTGTCCGTCTGTCTGTCCGTTTCTACGCGAACTAGTCTCTCAGTTTTAAAGCTATCGACTTGAAACTTTGCACACACTCTTCTTTCCTTTGCACGCAGTATATAAGTCGGAACGGCCCGGATCGGCCGACTATATCCTATAGCTGCCATATAACTGATTGATAGGAAATGGTATAACTTTGACGTTTTTAAAGTTAGAGAGTTCAAATTTGACATGAGAGCATTTTTTGGCAAAACATTACGACATGCCAAATTTCATAAGGACCGGCCGACTATATCCTATAGCTGCTATATAACTGAACGATCGGAAATGACCCAACTTTC